CTTCCACATTAATTTCCTCTATCTGCCAACCTAAGCATTTCATGTTTGTAAGGTCGGAGTTTCTTAATTACATACTTCGGCATTAAATATTTTCTTTTGATAACGTTTTCTACACAGAGACACAGGCAGTGTACTTACTCGGCGGTTGCTGTTTCCAGTAGCGCTTGTTGTTGATAAGGCTCAGACGTGCCCAGCAGTTCAAGAAATGGCTTGTGCCTTAGAGGATTGATCATTTCCGTTCGACGGTTTGGAAGCAAATGAGTAAAACACAATAATAAGGAGGCTTATATTGGAAGAGAGAAAGCAATTTAGACAAGGGTCCGAGCTATTGAGAGCTCGGCTCTGAGCTTATCGAACTTGGCTCCATGCGCATGTCAGATAAGAAAGAAAGGGAAGATAAGAAGATAAAGATAAGGATCAAGGAAGATAAAGTTAAAGATAAGTATAAGGATAAAGATAAGGATAAGGATGAGGATAAGGAAGATAAGAAGATATGGAAGATAAGAAGATAAGGATAAGAAAGATAAAGATAAAGATAAAGAAGATAAGAAGATAAGGATAAGGAATATAAGAATATAAAGAGAAGGAAGATAAGAAGAAGATAAGAAGATCAGAAGATAAAGATAAGGATAAGGAAGATAAAGATAAGGATAAGGAAGATAAAGATAAGGATAAGGAAAATAAGACGATAAAAGATAAGAAAGATAAGAAGATAAGGATAAAGATAAGAATAAGGAAGATAAAGATAAGGAAGATAAGAAGATAAAGGTAAGGAAGTTAAGAAGATAAAGGTAAGGAAGATAAGAAGATAAGGATAAGGAACGTAAAGATAAGGATAATGATAAGGAATATAAGAAGATAAAGGTAAGGAAGATAAGAAGATAAAGGTAAGGAAGATAAGAAGATAAAGGTAAGGAAGATTAGAAGATAAGGATAAGGAAGATAAAGATAAGGATAATGATAAGGAAGATAAGAAGATAAAGGTAAGGAAGATAAGAAGATAAAGGTAAGGAAGATAAAGGTAAGGAAGATAAGAAGATAAGAAGATAAGGATAAGGAAGATAAAGATAAGGATAATGATAAGGAAGATAAGAAGATAAGGATAATGATAAGGAAGATAAGAAGATAAAGGTAAGGAAGATAATAAGATAAGGAAGATAAGAAGATAAAGATAAGAAGATAAAGATAAGGAAGATAAAGATAAGGAAGATAAAGATAAGGAAGATAAGAAGATAAAGATAAGGAAGATAAGAAGATAAAGAT